TAAGGCCTATAAATTATCAACATAACCAGAACCTTGCTGAAAAACGTTATACACAATCTACTACATTCCTTCTGTCATATGATTGGTAGTTTATACATTTTTAGGCCTTTCAATATAATTGTAAAAATGACCACCTTCAGGTCATGGTTTACACATCTTTTTGTAGTGAAATCTAATGATTTTTATAAAGTAAACATAAGAACAACTTTCATATTGTTAGTAATATTTCAAGATGAAAACTCACTGGACTGAAGCAACTTAGGTTTACTTGATTATCCATACATCATTTTTTTCAGAAAAATGTATCAAATATGATCAATCAGGCTTCCGAGTGTTTATTTGATCTTACAATCATCATTGTACTGCATTGCGTCATGTTTCCTCCCACAACAAAAACTAGAGGTTTGCTCATTAAACTACGCATACCATCATACTAAGACACATTATTGAGACTCGAGACATATTGAGAGAATGAATTTTTATATTTAAAAGCATTTTATGTAAATAGTCTGCTATACCATTATAAAGATCTAACTGATTTACATTACAAGCAACTGGAGATATAAATATCAGCAACTGCACCAAATAGTTCGGGCCTCTGAATAAAATAGGCATATTTATTTCTCCTAATTGAGTATGAGCACCATATTCCACAATATCATACTATAAGAGCCATGGAAGCCTGATGTTTCAAATATGATATAAAACACAAAACACATGTGCATAAACTTATTAAAAATATTTTGTCTAAATGTTCAATAAAACTGTTCTATATTAAAAAAAAAAGATTGTGTCAATTTTTTTACAGGGTTAAGCCTGAATAAAATGAACACCACTAGTATATTTAATATACAGTCGTCTACTATCCAAGATCTAGGAACCAATAAGAAATGTGTGGAAAAATGTATCTTTCCCAGCATTCCCTTTAAATGACTTCCTCATCTTCTCTTTGTGTTTGTCATGTGACACATCAGGGAATCCTCAGTCAATTCAGACGCAGAACACTAATACAAATGTTTTTAAATGGTATTACGTTGAGATAGATATCTTTGGGCGCTGATCGTGGTATTACTTTAAAATTCGTCCAGCATAACACCTCGGTGCGACCATGGTATTTTGGATATGTATTATGGTAGTATCCTGGTATTCATACCAAATTATCATATATGCATACCATGGTTACTTCAGAGAATACCAGAGTGAATGCCGTACTTGTTGCCTAACTGGTACGGGTTATTTTGACTATATATCTGTAAGAACACACGGATGAGTTGAAGGCAGAGCAGGAGGCGTCGGTTGTTCCTGTCATTAGGTTGTCGTTTGAATGTGAATTAGTCGAACCTCGAGCGTGTAAGTGTTCCAGATGGAGCTGAAGTTCTGAAGCGCTTCTGCCGCCGTCTCTTCGTCCATATTGAGCTCTTGACAAAGCGCCTCGAGACTCCTCCGAACCGAACCATCGTCTGATTTAACGGACTCCAAATCCGTTTCATCTCCGCGCATTGCTGGAATCCGTTAACGTCCAAAGACAATTGTTTACGTGAAACAGGGAGTTGACCCGGAACGCCGCTGACCTCCTGATGCTATCCCACAATGCCGAGACACACGAATGGCGCGAAAACGGGCTCCTCTCAGCCAATGAGAGAAGAGGAGTAGATGGCGTCATTACAACAACAAAGACGACAGCATGGAGGATTTAAACCTCCTCACAGTGTTTACCAAACCATTACATAAAATATAAGGAATATAAATACAATATAATAAGCTCCCCCCGTTTTACTCTTTATTCCGGGACTTAATCTGTAACAGCTGAATAAACAAATGTATTAATGAGAATTGTCTATGCAATTTTATAAAAATGTCCCGTTTTGTTGCTTGCTTTTTTTTATTTTATCTCATTTTATATATATATATATATATATATAATACTTATCTGGTATTATTTGACATGTTTATCTTGTATACTTCATTACATTTATTACTAATTATATTTATACGTAATTACATGCAATTAAAATTTAATTAAAACGCTTCACAGACACCATACTTTCAAAGACACAAATGTATAAAGTATATAATGTTTTCCAAACGTGCGTTCTTATTTGCTCAATTAAATGAATAAAACAAAATACTAAAACAAGAAACTAGAACTAGTTCAAAACGAAAGTTCAAAGTCATCTTTTATTGCACAATAAAAGATCACATACCATGGTTTGAATTATATGATTGGTCCACATCCGTGTACAGGAACTATTAGAACAAAAACAAATAAAATATCCAAAAACAAACAAAATATCCCAAAATAAATAATAAAAAAAACCACCCATGACTCTCAGCATTGCTGCAGATTTCATACCAAGAGTACAAGTTCACTTTTTGTCTTGAGTAATCATCCCAATAGAGTGCACTTGCTTCAATGTAACTACAAACTTACAGTACTTCCTTATCATGAACACTGACCATTAGTTGTATCAAATTAATTCAATGTTATTCTACAAGATCTTGAGGAACAGAACCTCCAACACAGGCTCAACAGTGACGCAAGCGCAGTTCTGCTTTTATTCTGTCTGGCTAAGCAGCTGTTATAAGAAACACCCCATAGTAGCCTGACTTGCATTCACTTTTAAGTATGGGATGTTGCTCTGCCTCGGACGTGACTGGGTCTTTTAGCAGGTCCTGACATGCAAACACTGACACTGACATATTGAATGCTGACAGAGTCTGATCAAAGTGACACGGGCATATGGTACCACAAATTTCCCAATTCTCACTCCCCATTGGAAATGCACTATGCAAAGCAACTACAATGATCTCCCTTTGATCAATCCATGTAAAATGGAGGCAGGGGGCCAATGGGAAGGCTTTTTTGCTCTCAAGTGTATCTGGGAGCAACTATCCAGAGATGTATTTATACACACAAATAGTCAACATTACCGTTTTCAGAACTGTTCAGCTTTTATGGAAAGTAAAATGGATCAGTGTAGACATCCCATATAGGAAAACATCCAAAACCTGGAGACAGCAAGTTTATGTACATGTTGCAATTACACAGGGAGACAATGCAGAGACAGTAAAACAATAAATACAGGTTAAATTGATCAGACTTTTGGATGAACAACCAAACAGTTTTAGCTAGGCAGAAAGATAAAATGAGTGTTACTAGGACACAGAATTGAATATATATTCACTGATCTTCAAATGAGCCCAGATATTGCACCAGGGAGACTTTCTATTCAAATAACTTGATTCAAATTGAATTCAACTGGAGTGTTTTTAAGTTGTCAAACTGTACATTTCCAACAAACAGTACATTTATAAAATCAATACACCTACAACCAGCAACGCAGCATTCTCAGTCTAACAGTCTGAACTCTCCAGGTGTACATATACTGGCTGTGATTCTCCTGAAATGTTGAAGGACTTTAATGGCGTTACGAACTTATCAAAACGTCAAAAGCAAGGATAACACAATCATCCAGACGTCTAGACGAGGTCTGTGTGTTTTTGTTCACCAGATGTTACTCAGAAAGCAGTGTAGGGACAATAGAGAAAGATCTGAGGTAAGCTTTCAGACTAACAACGAGACATTTTCGAAAGTCAAGAAGACTTTGTGCTTTGCAATACTGCTTTGAATGAGTTGAGAGAGGAAAGAGGACTGATTATGTTATTTCAAAAGACACAAAAAATGCACACAAGGCCAGTATCTGTACAACTAGATTTTAACTCGTATGACTGAGACTGCTTCCCAAAACGTTGACACCGTACACAAGTACTTTGATATATATTTTCCAACATAAAGATGTAACAAACATCCATATATAAACCGCTAAATAAGGCATTGCAAAGAGAACACAAAATAGATGTGATAAGAAAGGGGAAATGTCCTATTTGGTGAATTTGGCAAAGTAAAAAAAGAAATAAGAGAAAAATAAATTACATCATGGTGTCACAAATAGTGTGACAAGGCAACAACAGCATGTTTTTTTGAAGGTGACCATGATTTTTTTGTTTTGTTTTGTTTGTTTAGACAAGAAATTTACAGTACAGGTTTACATAGGTCAAAATGTACAGGAAGTGGCATGTGCAAGCGTGCGCATGCGTCCACACAAACACACATAAACAAACAAGACGGAACACAATTACAGGTAAACATTCACCAAAAAGACTGTGCAAAAATGTTTTCACATCTGAAAACTGAAAAAAAAAAAAAAAACAAGTAAGATGAGAAGGTGGAAAATGAATACTCCCACAAAAGAGAGACCCTGTTGAGACTGGGGGAGAACATGAGTTAAATTATCTCTGGTTATCAACTAGTGTAAAGTATTTCAAATAAAAGAAACACTAGTGCTGATTTTTTTAAACACCCTCCCAATATGAGACTTACTGGCAAGGAAAAAAATAACTGTGCTTGTAAACAAAAATAACGACAAGATTTACATGTTTTACTCTACAGTATTTTCAAATGCACCAGAGAAAATAAGAGCAATGTAACCCATGAGAACGAGACAGTCTGACATCTTTCTGTCAACCCCATCAACCCAAGGGCTTTAGTGAAGGCAAAAACAAAAAAGGGTATTTGCAAAGATATTTTTGTTTTATTTTGGGTGAAGGAATATTTCACCCAAAACTTAACTCTCTGGCATAATTTATTCACCCCTTCATGTTGTTCCAAACTTGTATGACTGTGGAACACGAAAGGAGATGTTTTGAAGAATGTTTACGCTGCTCTTCCCCACATAACAAATGCACAATGACCAGGGATTATCAAACTTCAAGAAAGATAAAAACGTACTATAACAGTAGCCCAAACGAATTATGCACTATATATATTCCAAGTCCTTTAAAGACACAAGGTAGCTTTTGCATGAGAAAATTAGTTGTATGGAGTAGTTTCATGGCCATTTATGAAGCTTGACAGCCACTTCTTAATGGGAGCATGCTGCTTTTGTGCTCCACAGAAGAAATTCATACAGGTTTGAATGACATAAGGCCGAAATGATGACAGAAATTTAATTTGGGGGTGAATTATCCCTTTAAATTCACTAAAAAAACAACAACACACAGTTCTCGCAATGTTCTATCACCTGTTTTGCATCAGACTTATTTTATAAGCCCGTGTACCAATACCAGAACAGAGTCTCATCTACGGCACTAAACCTTCGCTCTTGAACATGCAGCACCTCTAAGTATATATAGCCATCTCTATAAATGATTAGTAGTATCCCAACGGGGGCATCTTATCAAAGCAACCATGTGGAAACGACACCAAAAACAATATGACAAACAAAACAAAAGATAAATCAATCTCAGGATTGTTCTTTGCCATCAATTTCAAGCCTTGCTCTTTTTGAGTTTCCACTGCACTCACCATGTTGCACTCATGCCACCTATAGCTTTGTAAAAGATTTAGGTTAAAATCTTCACTAAAATGAATACATAGCAGCAAGCAACTAAGAACAAAATACTGTGGTCCATCGAGACTGTATCAGATGCAGCTCTGCTGGTAATCTACCAATGGAACGAATGTTTTCTTTACATTAGGTTTCAAAACATAAATCTAGGACTTATGCAACTATAAGAGCGTGATCAGAAACACGAATATGAAGTGAGACTGCCGTCTGTTTTTTGCACAATACCAACATCCTACCGCTTTCTGAGAATCTGTGAAAGATGCTAGTGAATAACACCTAATCGAAGGGGGAAAATGCTGGGGTCACTAAGAGCGTTCTCCGTCAACAGACAGAAATGTCTGAGTATCCATTCCCATGATGCAAAAGGAACACGCTAACACCAATGATGATGTTTGTCCCTTTTTCAGGATTCAAGACCTCTGAGTGTTTGCATGCTTCAAGTGTCTATATCTTTAGCACACACCCAGAAGGAAGTGTAGATGTCAGTGAAATTACAAGGGCAGATCTATAAACAATACGTTGATAAGCAAAGTCCTATACACAAACTTCTACCGACACGACACACATAAAAGTACTGTGGCCCAAACATGAGGATGCATTCTAGTCTCCACTGACACACAAGCCTTGAGCATTTGCCCTAGGTTCCTCTCCCATCTCGTTTTTGTCCTTTTCCTCAGTACTTCTATCCTCAGAAGGATCTTTGACCTGAGCTAAATCTACATCAGGTCTGCCTTCTTCCATTCCGCCCTCTTGGCTCTTTTGTTTGGGTGTCTGTTCGTCTTTAACCTCCTTCGATTCCACACCATCTATATGTACACCAACATTGCTGCTTCCCTCCTCTGGTCCTTCCTGCCTAACCTTCTTCCTTTTCCTCTTGGGGCTGCCCGTGCTGTCTGCTGCGGTCATGGCGGGCAGCGCCATTATACTGCCCGGTGGCAAGAACATATGAGGATACAACAGACTATGTGACAATCCTGGGATTAGAAAAGGGTTAAAGGTCAAATGGCTGCCGGTGCTTGTGATGCTACTACTACTACTGCTGCTAGTGGCCGCAGCTGTAGACACTGAAGCGGACACTTTCTTCTCTTCCCCTCCTTGCTTTGCGTCCTCCATATTCCCATTCTCCGTGCTCATCGGAGAGCTTGCGTTATCATGCTGAGGCGCAAAATCCGAACTATCTGCTGGGTTGGAGGATGAGGTTACGGTTGCGGAGTTCGTAGAAGTCACGCTCGCTGTAGTGGAGGATGCAGTTGCAGTGGACGTAGTGGACATTGCAGTGGACAGAGGTTGATTCATCATTCCACTCATGTGAGCGCTGTACATGGGCGGCTGCACGGCTGCCATGCCGTGGAGCATCATGGGCAGCATACTGAGTCCATTCTTGGCATCATCTCCTGATGGTATGGCAGTGGCGAAACCATGAGGAAAGCCCATGATACCGGTTAGCGGGATGCCAGGGACATTGCGGAGATTGGGTAAGCTAACCAGATCCATGCTGCCAATGAGCCCACCATTCATGAAGAGCGGACCCATGCCAGCGGGGAGCTCGTGGGCTTTGGGCATCTCACTGCGGGGTCGCCTGCCTCTCCTACGTGGACCGGGATCCCGACATACGGGTCCAGAGAGGATGCGTGTGAATTTGCCCTCTGGCAGAAAACCCTGGGATAGTGGGATACGAAAACTTAGTGTTGGTTTACAAGGAACAATTTCATTCAGCATCTAGAAAGTCAAAGACATAAAAATGGCACATATATATGGCATAAAGTTTAAAGTAGTTTCATTCAAAATCATCAATTATTTCACAACTCTCTGAAATAATTTTTTTTCTGATTGGTTAATTGCAGTAAAAATGTGCACACATATGATATATAAAGTAATTTCATTCAAAATCATTAGTTATCACAAATCACTGAAATTCTGTATTCTGATTCCAATGGAATGGATTTCAGTGAAACACAATTTTATATTTTAAAGGGATAGTTCATCCAAAAATGAAAATTAACCCATTATTTGCTCACCCTCAAGCCATCCTAGGCGTATATGACTTCCTTCTTTCAGACGAATCCAGTCGGAGTTATATTAAAAATTGTCTTTGATCGTTCAAGCTGTTTAATGGCAGTCAGCGGGTGTTGCAGTTCATCAGTCCAAAAGAAGTGAAATAAAGCGCATCCATCCATAATAAAAAGTGCCTCACACGGCTCCAGGGGGTGAACAAAGGCCTCCTGTAGCAAATCGATGCGTTTTTGTAAGAAAAATATTCATATTCAAAATGTGATAATCACTTTAATCTAGCTTGCGCCAACAGTTGTACACGGAAGCAGCTCTGGGTGGATGACGTAAGATGTCGGCTTTGCGCATGTGCCGTTAAGTCTCGTGAAAACCAACGTTTGTTAACAGGAGCAAATGAAGCAAAGTTTCCTTACTTTAGCAAAGGAAAACCAGTCCCCTCTTGGCTTATATCGAAATCCTCCAACATTCTTCTTTACAAATCCTCGTTTTGTACTTCTAATTAGTGACCGTTGTTTTGTTTTGATCTCTCCCCTGTGCTTCCGCGTTTGTCACTTCTGAGCGGCGCATGCACAACGCCGACATCCTACGTCATCCTATTTGAATATAACTCCGATTGGATTCGTCTGAAAGAAGAAAGTCATATACACCTAGGATGCCTTGAGGGTGAGTAATTCATGGGTAAGTTTTCATTTTTGGGTGAACTAACCCTTTAAATTATACAATATTAAAAAACAAATATAAACAAATTCAGACTTACCCTACCTACCCTAATAATAAATTAACATACAATAGAATATTATAAACTATAGTATAGACTATTATAGACATCCTATGGGGGATTTTATGTAGATGCCTTTCACACAGAACTGTGAAATGGTTGTAAGTAAAAATTTCAATTGCTAGTTATTTAGAAGATGCTTTCTTTCTGTCCAACTCGAACTATAAGGAGGGTCACCAGCTCAAGGACTTAAGCAAGATTGTGATCTTATTACATTTCCGTATTTCTTCCACTCTGAACCAATAAATTTTAGTCAACATTTAGATGATGAACCTTGACTATTAGCTTATGTTCAGTTTACTACATATTCACGAGTGGCTTCACTGGAACATTCTCTGCTCTGCTTCTTGCAGGTTCCAGCCTCTTTCTAGACAGAATATATATGACTCACTGAGTGCTTCACCACATCTGCCCAATCAGGAGCCACAGAGTATTCGGAGTTTGCATCCAGCCATCGGGAGAGCTCTTTAATGGCTGGAGCCATAGCGCCTCCAAGCTGCAACCAGAAGAATTGTGGCATCAAAATTAAATGAAACAAACAAACAAATAAACAAGAAAGGATATATGAGTATCTATGCATGTTTTTGTTACCCTGCGGCCTGTGTTTCTGTGCACTACTGGGACTCTCTCCTCCCCAGTTAGAGAGTTGACATTGAGCTTGGTTGGGTCTTTGCAGCGATGCCTTCTCTGCTTCGGACGCTCCAAGAAACTGTGCAACATGCTTGCATTCTGAGACTAAGAAAGACGTGCAATATAAATTAGGTTACAGTAATCTATTAAATATAAATTATATTATTTCAAGGCTTATATAAGCTGTATACAACAAACATTTACATTTAGGATCATTCAAATATCTTTCTAGATGAAAAAAAAGTGTTATCGACCTTGCTACTTTTTTTTAAAGCACCTTAAACGTACACACAAATAAAAACATAATACCATTAAAGTCAACATGAAATTGCATTAACATATACATCTGTTTTAGTAGTAATGTGACGTACTTTCAAGTAAAACAGGGAATTTAAAATGTAAGACAAAAATATGATCCTTAACTTTATCTAATAGGAACTTAATAGATGTTTATAATACTCAAACGAAAATGTCACAGAAATATTATTACTTTTTATTCTAATAAAATAAAACTTAGTTCTGTTTCTAACTTACCGGAAAAGCAGAAAGCTCCATGTTGTAGTTGGGGTTTTGTCTGAGCCATTCAATTAGGCCTTTATTGGCTGTTTCCCTGTCCAAGCTCACATTCATGGCCTCTGAGGCTGGAGGCTGAGTAGGAAGTGTAGTCGGGGTGGCTGGAGGGCCTTCTGACTGGGAGGATGTGGAGGACACAACAGGGTGGCTGATACTCTCTGACCCGCTCTGTGGAGTATATAAAGATAAACAAAACACTTGCCAGTTATATTGATTTATTAATATTATTTATTTATTTATTTTAGTGCCATATCAGCATCAAAGGCTATTTTCATGGCAAGATCCAAGTTTGAAATAAAAGCTTTCAAAATAAGCTTCTTCCAACATCACAAAAGAGACCATATAAGATCTTTCATATTCATATTTTAAATATTTTCCTGGTAAATCTTTTTAAAAACATCAAATTAGTTTTAAAAAAGTACTCCAAAAAAGTAACATCAAAAAAAGTACCCCATTGCACTTCTAATGAAGAATTTAATCTTTGATGGTGCTTTCTTTTTACTTTTAGCTTGGCAAGAGAAAATTATTATGAGCTTTCTTTGTACAGAAAAGAAGAGTAGATTTGCCAAGCATCTCCTTTTATGTTTCACAAAACAAAAAGTACAATGCTAGAATAACATGGTGCCATTTTCAATTTTGGATGTCCTACTGTATCCACTTCATTGATAAGTGGTTCCACAAACCTGCTGGTCAGGCAAGTTCACGCTTCGTCCCTTTATAAAGCTGAGATCAGGAGTCTCCACATTTCTTCTCCGTCCTTTCCTCCGTCTCAACATTGAATCATCACGATGAAGACCGCCGTTGACAATCTGCCCTGTGACTGGGTGAATCAGTCCAGCCTGCAAAATGCCAGCCATATCCAATCCCAGTGAGCCTTGTATGGAGCCTATCCCAGTTATTTTATGTGGCGCTGACTGGACAGTGTGGCTCATCTGACCGATTGGCCCACTGTCTCCACCAACTGTTAGCTCTGTTGGTTTGGAGAGGTCAATAGCGGCATCCTGCCAGCCATTAAGGAGGAGAGCATTAGCACGATGAGGCATGCCAACCTGGATCTTTTCTCCAAGATTGCTTGGTTTGGCAAGAACTTCTGCCTCAAATTCAAAACCCCGTCTTGGACGTTTGAGCTCAGGGAGAAATGCTGGGGCCACTAACCGCTCCTGTTGGGACATGAGTTATAAATCAATACAATAAAGCTAGAATATCTTCATGTTTCAGTTAATTAAATCTAAAACGTTTTTCAACCAATTTTGCAACAAACCAAAGGAGGAAAATTCATATTAAGTAAGTAAATAGCATGGTTTTACCAAAACTACAGCTTTGATCAGTTTAACTGTTTGAATGATATTAAATGTTGGGCAATAAACAAATGCAATCCTGATATTTATTAGCTGTTTGATGATATTTACATTTGTGAGATGGATTAAAACAATCAATTGCAATCATTTTTGTCAAAGGAACCACAATTTAGACACTTCTTTAATTTCCATGACTTTCAGGCCTCAAAAATCACACTTCGAAAATACCCTGATATTTCCAGGTTTTCATTCATATAATTTATTTCCAGATATTTCCAAAAACTTTTTAAGGATTTCCAGACACCTTGAAAAACCTCCTGTCTGATGATGTGATCTTACACCTACCTTTGCTAAGTGGGGTACTGTGTGTGGGTTAAAGTTAAGGCTCTGAGAAATAGGCATTCTGGTAGACAGAAATCCTGCTCTCTGGTGGGCACTGCTGGGCACGCAGGTGTTAGTCAATGAGGTGGGAGACTCATACTGTTGACTGGAGGAAGGCCACTTCCCCTTTAAGATAGTGTGGCAGATACTGTCAATACGGTTGATGATCACTCTGTCCTATAGGGGGAAAAAAGACAAAACAGGGTATGAAGTGGGTCTAACTGCAGAAACATGTGACTGGTACATATCTAGTGGTATGCTGTGGGCTGACACCAGTCTTACTTATTTAATTTTAAGAGAAGACTTTCATATTTTCAGCAGAATATATAAAAGATTTTTTCAGCATAACTAATTAATTAAGCATCGTACAGGATAATAATATAAGCAAGAAACAACCACCAACATAATACCTTAGGCCACTCTGAGAAGGAGAAGAGTGCTTTCTCTTGTAGAAGCCGAGCAATGGTTGGTTCCCTTATTTCATGGACACTGTCTGCCATCTCACACATGGGCAATACAAAGCGTAGTCCATCAACATCTCCCAATAATGCTAAAAATACAAAGAAAAAAATGACAAGAATTATTATTCAAAGCATGCTGGAAGAGAAAGAGACTAAAACAGTTTTTTAAATTCTTTAATCCTTATGTTTTCCACTGGGTTTTATGAACATAGTGAGAAACAATCATTTATCAGCATGTAATTTGTTTTATTTATTATACTAAAAATATTAAGTGATTCCATCAAGCAAATCTGACTAATGTTTGCCAACAATTAGAAATAAGTGATGACAGACCGTTGAATAATTTAATGTACACTAAAGGTGGTAATGCAGCCACAACATCAATAATTATCAATAATTCAACAGTCAGGAGTCAGTTATTCCGCTTATATCATTGTCTTTTTCTTCTAAAATAGGTTTGTCCCTAAACTTGTTGTGTAAGCCGATCAAGTTTTGCTAGTTTTTGGACACTTATCAAGAGGTCAGGCTGGAAAACAGCTGTCCAACAAGCTAAACACCAACTTGGCCAGCAAACCATCTCAGACTGATTTAAGCTGTTTTTCTCTATAAGGGAAAACAGCTTCAGCTGCCATTACTAGTTTTGTAAAGAATGTGGTGAAATATTAAGAAACTCAATAGACCTGGAACTACTACATAAAACTAACGGAATCAGAAACAAAACATAAAAGGTAGAAAGCTAAAGTCTACAGTCATAGTACCTGGTGCCATTGCACTTTCATCTTTTATCTTGTCCTTTACTTCCAAAACCTCAGTCTGCTCAAGGTGAGGGATCTGCGTAGTGCTATCTGGCTCAGGCTTCACATCTGATACCACTGGATCCATGAGGAGTTCTTGTTTTGGGACTGCGTCAAGGCCCGGGGATTCAGAGGTGTCAGGTAAGGTAGTAGGAGATGATGGGAGTGAAGGCGGCATAGGGTAATCTGTTGAGAGAGTAGTGTTAGTTAGATTGCACTCTTCAATTGGCTCTGATGGTTCTTTGCAGGGTTCTTCCACCAACTGCTGTTCCGCTGTGTCTTGCTGAAACCCTTCGCAAGGTTCCTGCAGGGTCTCGTCACAAGTCAAATCGTAAGACTCCTCTAAAGGCACTTTTTCTGGCTCTGTTAGAGGCTTTTCGTAAGGTTCATCCAAGGCCACTTCACAAGGATCTTTCAAATCTCCACTGGAATCTTCAAATGGCACTTTGTAGTCCCCTTTCTGGGATTCCTCGAGACAATTTTCGCTTGGAGACGCTATTGAAGGCATCTCATCTTGAGTATCCATTGTCTTTGGGCTGTCTGGGGAAAGATCTTGAAACCCTACGCTTTCAGCTCCTTCTTCTGGACTGGGAACACCATGTGTGATGTTGGAATCACTAAGCTTGTCCTCTTGCTCCTCACTAATGGGATCTGTCTGGTCAAGACTCACATCCGGGAGTCCAAGAGGTGGTGGTGGTGGAACATATTCTGGAAGACTGGCTGATAGATCTGTCTGATCCACAGAAGTCTCTCCAACATTAAGGTCTTTGAACAACATGAAGCTCGTTGCCAGTGGTTCAATAGGGTTGCTTTGAGAGTCCGAACTAGGCATGCTCAAACAGTCAGTGAGCGTTTCATCACCCTCATGTCCATCTTCTGGTTGAGGAGCATCGAGAAAGCTGGGTTCCAAAGTTTGCGCTCCCAAGATGGGATCAGTCTCGTTGAACATGTCAGAGGCTTCAGCATGGTCCGAGCTTTCCCATGGAGTTTGAAGTTCATCTAGTTCCACAGAAGGAGCCATTAAGCCAGTCTCCTCAGAAGACCCTTGCTCTCCCACCAGAACATCGCTGCGAAGTTTCCCAGCTATGGAGTCCGCCATGTCTGCTTGAGACCCATTTAGCTCCCCTTGGACACCGTACGAATTTAGCATATTCTGCCCACCAGTTGCAGAATTGAACGGGAATCCATTGAAGGCCTCTTTACCAGACTTGCTATGTAGTGTGTCTGATGTCAAGCCTTCATGTTGTAAAGAACCCAACTCCAGAGAGTCATCCAGTGGATGGCAATCCAAAAATCCTTCCCTGATTCCTGTACCTATCCCTAGGGAGCTTCCAGACTCTGATGCCACCACTTCTGTGGGCTGGTGATGCCCATGAGAATGGACGAGTTGTGTTGGTGTGTGGTGTGAAGGTGTGGGGTGATACTCTGGAGGTTGTGGGGACTGACAATGCCCAAGGTTGGCATCATGCAAGCAGCAATGGTGGTGGGGCAAGCCTGGGACAGGATATCTGTGGTTTTCTTTATGAACATAGTTCCGGTGGGCCTCCAGGAAGGATAATTGGGGGTCATTGAGGATGTAGAAGTCTGTTCGACTCAAGCCATGCTTAGCAACCCCAATGAGAAGATCACGGTCATGTTTGCCACACTCCCACCAGACGGGCAAGTACAGACTAGGGTGACATAGCTGCAGTCGTGCCCCCAGGAGCGGGTGGCGCAATACTTGCTCACGGACTTTTCTCAAAAGCTCGATACGATATAATGTTCGGGCAGCTCGCTCTTCTGTAATGGGCTCCACAAACAGTGATGGATCCACATTACCTACATGAGACAAGAAGTTGTGTATATATTATGACAGATTTAGCTTCTATTATTATTAGCTTCACCAAACTATCAACTCAAATATCCATTTTACCTTCATCTTTTCTGGGCGGCAGTCTACATGCAGTTCGACACATTGAAAAAAAGCTGTGGAAATATCTCTCTAAGCTTTCGTCCGTCTTCCTCTCTAATCGAGCAAGGGCACGGAACTGGCTCCAGTCTAAGGTCTTCTTCTCTGGGTCATACACTACTCCAAACGAGGACACGGTGCGATTGAAGTCAGCCTGCTCTCGACGTGTCCACCTGTGTCAAAGAAGATATGTTAAAGGGGTCATATGATGCTTTTTTAAAGATCAGAAGGCCAAATAAAGTGCTTTTGCTTTCACCTAGAAACACACAGCGTCTCCCTGACATGGCTGCTTCAACACTAACTGCGGTTACTGAAACCACGCCTTCTTTCTTTGCGTGCACATTTGGGCGGCATTATACAAATATTTCCACACAGTGAGGTAGATATGTGGGGGCGTGTTAGAACGAGCCGTTTTAGGGGGGCGTGGCAGAGTCTTAACTTTGATAAAGAATATCTCTTTGGTTTTGAGACTTTAGTCTTTGCAACTTTAGGGATCTTATCTATGCACAATCAGCTTGTAACACTCCAAAGGGAAAGGAAAACTTGAAATCGCATCATATGACCCCTTTAACTAAAAAAAAAACAAAAATTTGCCTCAAAAATTTAATTAACTGATTTTCAGCACACATTATTAATCTCTTACCCAATGCAGAATCAAAATACTATTCTTCCAATGTTCATCATGACCTGTAACATTTCAATGTTTATACAGTACTCAAGGATTTTATGCTAGCCAATAATTAAATTTAGTGTTTAGCTGTTGATTTTGTCTTTTATCATGCTGCTCTAATTTTTTTGTTTACTTTGTTGATGTTCCTCATCCTCTTAATGCTTAGTGTTTATTATGATTATTTCAACATGACTTGAAGGCAGCGAAAGTACTACAATTTTACCCAAATGAGCTGGTTTCCATTTGCATATGTAAAAAAAAAAAAAAAAAAAGCAGATTAAAGTCTTTGATTTCATCTTGAGAAAATAACTGTAAACAATAAAACCATTGTCACATCACTCACCTTCGTTGCCACTCCAAAAAGAGCGGATCAGGCTCAGTAGTGCAGTGCCTAAACTCTCCTATTTGCCAAGCCACAGGTGCAATTCCCTCGTGTAAGAGGAAATCATGACGAAGCGGTTCACGGCGTGTATAACGCTGATAGGCAGTAATGAGGCGCCGCAGACGTGCTGTAAGAGCTGAGCCTGCCGGCCACTGTATCCGTCCCTGCTCCATCAATTCTGCAACAAGGTCTGCTGCGAGAGATCCTATAAATCCCCCTTCAAAAGAAATGCTACTTTAGACTCAACCTAAAGTTCATATTAAGGGGTGATCACCTTTGGATTTGTGTCACATTTATATGAATGCCAATGCAATAGAGAGCAATATGACAACTTTCAAAAATATTTTTTTTCACCTGCATACTAAAGTTCAAGTTTAGAGAACTCTACCCTGTGTATCCATATTTATAGCATAAAAATACTGATGGCATTGGCAGGTATGACAAAAATTAATTTAGCCCTCTGCATACAAGTTTTTTTTTAACAACAAAGGCTACTTTTTAATGACAAAGGAAACTTTGTCATTAAATGCATATTTTTTGCATATTATAAATAAATGCATATACTTTGCATATTTTTACATTTTATTTTTAACTATAATTTAGAATTTATTAAAAAGAAACATGACATCATCTCCTCAAATAACTTTGCATGATTAAAATCTATTGTGACCATCTCTTAACAGTATTTACAAACAATTCATGGTTCTGTAAATAAGTAAATAGATAAGGAAGGTTTTAATACCTGTCACTGCATTGTAATTTTTCCCTGTTTCCTCTGACATGGGTTCCTCCTTTGTAAAAGAAAACTTTACTTAAATGAACAGTCTGAGCATTTGGTTAAGACATTTAGCAAAATTCATCTGACTTCACATTCCTTCGACTTCCTATTATTACCTTGATCTCTACTTTCTCTTCTAATTCCTCAGACTTAATGTCGTTCTCCTCTTTGATTTCATCACTCTTGCTGATACTGCAAAAGAAGAAGCGTGTTTATGGTTGTAAGAGCCAAGAGGCACGACTGTTATATCTCTGCTGCTCATTTAAAAGCATATTACCTATCAGGTACATCTGAAGCAGTTTCTGCTCCACTTTGCTCTACCGTCAATGCAGTGACATCAGGCATACCCACTCGCTCCAGGAAACACAGAGCAGGGTCTGCATGCATGGCGTTATACCGCTCATACCCTGCATGGGACACAAAGAGAAGTTAATGCACATGGTGAAAGCAAGAGGAAGTCAATATGAACCATGTGACCATCTAAATCATATAAAAAGATACTGTAATTGCATTCAAATGCCTCACATCTCTGCTAAAAAGTAAAAAATTACTATGTATTTGTACCTGCACAGATTTCCCTTGCTATACTGCATATGCACAAGAATTGCATCATAAAACTGGGTGTAACGGTTGCACCCATTCTTTGATGATGTCTCACCATGTTTGTGAACTCCAATAAGCAGCGATTTATCCGCTTCAGCATCCCACCATATTGTAGGGATCTCAATGTAGTCAATATCAGGCAGGGTTACCTCCAGTTTACTGCAGAAAACACACAGATGCTTACATATTAAGCCACTCCACAATGACAACAGTTTGATATGGAATTAATGAGGTATGCATGGGGTTAAGAGAGACTGTGTGTCATGTAGTACCTGGCTGGGATCCCTTCAAGAGCCTGATTAGCAGCCTCCCCCAGCACTTCGACCTTCAGATAGTACAGCATCCGCACCCTCAGTAGCACCCTGTTTATGACGAGATACATGATTTAAAACCCTGTAATCATGATGTTATCAGAGCACACACACACACACATATTACCTATGTACCTGATAGGTAATATGCTTTTATA